CCTAGTTAAGTAGATAATAATATATAAATTACTAACTATAATAGTTATATAGTTATTAAAGTGTTTATAGTTATACTTTTACTAGTAGTATAGAGGTTACCTTTATAAGTTAGTCCTATAATACTTGTCTTTAATATATATATAGCTATTATAACTTTACTTTACTTTAGCTATTAGGTATAACTATAAGTTATTATTAAATAATTAAATTACTCTTAAGTACTCTAGTGTACTACTTACTAAAGTATAAACCTAGGTATACTATTTATAATAACATTTATATAGGTAATAAAGAAAGCTATACTAGTAGTAGTATACTTTATTTTACCTTATTTAATAGCCTATACTATATATACTTTCTGTTTATATTTAGGGGTATAGAATATATAGATAAGTAGCCTTTTAGAAGGCTAATAATCTTACTATAGTAATTACCTTTTTATAAAGAAACTACTTTATAGTAAGGAAACTACTTTATAATAAAGAACTAACTTTATAGTAAAAAACTAACTTTATAGTAAAAAAACTACTTTATAGTAAGGAAACTACTTTATAGTAAAGAAACTACTTTATAGTAAAAAAACTACTTCTATATATAAGAACTACTTTTATATAGTATATCTACCTTATAGAGGTATAACTACTTTTTAGTGTAGTAACTATATTCTTATACTATTATTATAGTAAAGTATAATAGCTACTTTTATAGCTATAGTAGCTTACTACTAGATCTTGCCTCTACTATAGTACTTGTCTTATTATAAGCTATCTAGATAGGTCTATAGATAACCTATTAGTTATACTAAATATAAAAGGTTAAATAAGTAGTAAGTTATATATATATATTTATTATAAGTAAAGAGAGTAAAAAGTAAAGTAAAAGGATAGTAGCTAGTAGTAGCCTTGTCTAGTAAATAAAGAGAGCTACTATTATATATAGTAGTATATAGCTCTAAGGTAAATAGGTAAGTAAATAACATAAATACTATATAGGCTACTTCTTTACTTAGTTCTTTTATACTAAGCTTAAGGGCATTATATAAACTATAGAGTATACTAAGTAAAGAGAGGAGAAGAGTAGCTAGAACTATGCTTTTTTATATATACGTTAGTATAGGTCTAGCTACTACCTATGCCTCTGTTGCCTTATGTTTTCCTCTTAATAAACTTATTTTATTACCTCTTATACTCTATTCTAGGGTCTAAGATATTGCTTATAATCTAAGTAAGAGAATACTTACTAAGGTGTAAGGTTACTACTACTCTAGGGTATACTATAATTTAATATAGATAAAATACCTCTCTATAGGGCTTAGCTATAGAGGATTTACTATTATAGGTAGAGAATATTATTATACTTTTTATTATTATACTCTTATATATCATTTCTAGCTACTACTTTATTATATAGTTCTTTATAAGCTATAGTGTAGTAGATTATCTTAGATAAATAGAATTACTATATTAGTATATAGGTAATATAGCTATAAGAAGAGGTAGGTTATATAATATACTACCTACTAGTAGTATTTTCTACCTTTACCTATATATAAGGGTACTACTACACTTATGCCTTTACCTATAGTAGCTACTATTATAACACTTAATTAACTACTTTTCTTATACTTTATAATATTATAAAAGCTAGGAATACTTTATTAATAGCTAAGTAAGAACTAAGGCACTAGCTACTTGTAAAGGAATAGCTAGTAGTAAAAATTAGTAGCTACTATAGTATAATTATTAGTATCCTATACTACACTAATATTATAAGTAGCATAGGTAAAGACAAAGGGAATATAAAACTATATATATATATATAATATAATAGTTATTATAGAATAAAAGAAGTATAAAAGTAAGTTAAAGAATATATTATAATAGCTTTATATATTTTTACCCTCTATAATAGCTCTAGTTAATACTATAATATATAGTGTTTTATTTTTATTTACTTATATATAGTACTTTACTTTCTTTACTTATACTAAAATAGATTAATATATTATAGACTTAAATCCTATTAGGCCTTACTTTATAATCTAGCTTATAATAACTATAAGCCTAGCTTTTACTATTTACTATTTATACTTTTATACTATAAAAGGTAAACCTTTTATAAAAGGGTATATAAGGCTTAGACCTAAGATATAGCTGTCCTATAGATTATAGGATAACTAAAAGGGCACAAGAGGAAAAACAATAATACTATTATTAAGGATAGTAGTAAGGCTATTAGATTAGTAGTAAAACAGTAGTTATAAGGTAATAAGAAAAGGATCTTATAATATACTATATTAGTAGTAAATACTATAGGGTAATATCTTTATTAGATAATAAATTATATATTAATAAAGGCTTTAAGAGCTTAGAGTTTAGTCTTTCTAGGGCTTACCTAGATAGCTTATATAGAGGTAGTTTCTTACTAGTTAGTAGGTTACACTTAGGTGTTTTATTTTATTTAAATATAGCTATAAATATAATAGACTATTTTACTAAAGTTATATATACTATTAGTATAGGTATAGCTATTATAGAAGGTTATAACCTTGCTATAGAGTATAGAGGAGAAGGTAAAGGCTAGTTAGTATTCTTTAATCCCTAGCTTACTATAGTTATTATAGAAAATAATAAACCTAGTGTTAAGTATATTATATATTTTACTACTAGACTTTATATTATCTATAAGTAACTTAGTAAAGGTAGTTAATTACCTTAAAGTAAAGTATAATATTATAATAATAAAGTAATAAATAAGTAGCTAGCTATATTAATAAAAGGGTTTACTAAAGTAGTTACTTTGCCTCCCTTTAGGGTATATAGAAGGAGGCTCTCTTTATAGGTCCTATAGTATTAAAGGGTTAGGCACTAAGGTCTATAGAGGGATTAGAGAGTACAGTGTAATTAGTGTATATAATACTAGGCGTAAGTATAATATTAGTAGAGAAAGTAGTAGGGGATAGCCTAGTAGTAATAGTAATAGGCCTAAGGCCTATTATAGTTACTTATTACTTAACTACTAGACCTACTACTACTACTTAGTGTTAATAGCCTATTAATAGTTAAGTTCTTTAACACTTAGTTCTTTTTATTATTTACTATTACTTTTTACTTACCTTATTTATTATTCTTACTAAGTATACTAATTAAAGGTAATATAACTATATTAGATATCTTTATTAAAGGTTAAGTCTATTATAAAATAATAATAGAATAATAGTAATATTACTTATAGCTTATTAATTTAACTCTTTCTTAATAGCCTTAACAAAGGTAAGTGTAGTTTAAGTATAGTAATCCTTCTAGAGGTAAAGGCCTTGTTTAAGGAAAAGGTTATAAAAAAGTAAAGAGAGTTTAGTGCCTACCTTATAGAATAGTTCTTTAGGTTAACTATTAAACTTATATTATAATTTATACTATAGGTTATAACTAATAAGGTTATATTAAATATAGTAGCTAGGCTAGTAGATATAGGCTAGGTTAACTATAGTACCTTTATAATTATACCTTCCTCTAGCTTATATTTAGCTACTAATGTAATTCTATATAGCTTAGATAGTAGCTAATCCTATAACTATAGTCTATTCTTTTAATATATTAAGGTATAGTAGATAATAAATAAAGGTTCTTACTAAGGTAAGTTCTTATATCCCTTTTATTAATAATGTCTATAGTACTATAGGAAGGAGGTAAAAGATAATAAGATACTTATAGCTATATCTATTTTTCTTAGGTGTCCTATTATAAATAAACTAACTACTAGGATACTATATATAATCTACTCTAATATACTATATATTATATCTTATATTAAAGATACTATTTAAGGCTAGTCTTTATATATATAAGCTATATTAGTAAGTAAAAAATATAATAGTTAAAGCCTTATTATCTATAGTAATTAATTAGGACGCACTAGGAATTAATATGGACGCACTAGTCTTATGGACGTACTACTATTTACTTTTCTAATTAGTTGAAAAAATTCTTGTTAGTGTAACTAAATACTGCTAGGCCTACAAGAGGTAGCCTATTGTAGCCTATTAAGGCAGCCTATTGTAGCCTATTAAGGCAGCCTATTATAGCCTATTAACAGCAGCCTATTATAGCCTATTAACAGCAGCCTATCGCAGCCTATTAAGGCAGCCTATTGTAGCCTATTAACAGCAGCTTATTACAGCCTATTAACAGTAGCCTATTGTAGCCTATTAAGGCAGCCCATCGTAGCCTATTAAGGCAGCCCATCGCAGCCTATTAACGGCAGCCTATTACAGCCCATTAAGGCAGCCTATTGTAGCCTATTAAGCTATTAATGGCAGCCTATTGTAGCCTATTAAGGCAGCTTATTATAGCCTATTAAGGCAGCCTATTGTAGCCTATTAAGGCAGCCTAAGGGGGTCCTTTTTGTGGCTATAAAGAGTGCCCCTTAAAGAGCTAGGTAGAGGTGTTAGTGTAATTGCCCTTACCGCCTTTGTGGGGATATACTGTTTTTTTAGACCAAATAGAAAGGCAAATAGTAGAGCGTCCATAAGGCTAGTGCGTCTATATTAATTCCTAGTGCGTCCTAATTAATTACCTTATCTATAGGCAAGACTATTTACTATTTATACTTTATAGTGTAGTTTAATAGCTACTAAGTAAGGCTTATATATTTTAGAGAATAGATTAAGATAGTAGTTATTAAAGTAAATATCCTATACCTTATATTATTATAGGCTAGGCAGCTAGTTAGTTCTATATAGTTACTAAGGCTAGGTAACTATAATACTATTATACCTTAGTTTCTATATAAATTAATAAAAGCTATTTACTTAGTATTTTTTACTATACCTCTCTTTATAAAGTGTTCTAATGTTAGTCTAAGACCTAGACTAAGGCTACTTAAAGGGGAGAGGTACCTAGAAATATAAGGCTTAACTATAAGGACTAAATTATTTTATAATAGTAAATAGGCTTAAGGTATACTAATATATAAGTAGTAGTTATATATAGTAAAATAGATGTCTACCTTTTTAAAAAGTAAGTACTTATAATAGATAATAGATTAATATCCCTTTATAGAACAGTAGACAGTAAGGTAATAGCTACACTAAGGTCTATAGCCTAGGGTAGTAAGTATTAGAGAAAAAGAAGCCTTAGCCTTATAGGGACTAGGTTAAGAGGTAACACTAGCTAGTTAGTAAGGTTATATATATCTTTTCTCCTCTATATATAACTACTTACTTACTATATTATAATATACTATAATATATTTAGCTATATAAGTAGTAGACTATTCTTATAAACCCTTTTATATATATATACTCCTTTTTATACTAGACTAGTACTAAGATAGGTGTTTAGTAAGACAAAGGAAGTGTCTACTATAAATATATAGTAAAAAAAATACTATATACTTTATATAAAGAATAAAAAGTAATATAGTATAAGCAGAAAATATATAGTTAATAAACTATATATTATTACTAAACCTAAGGTAGTATTATATACTATACTAAGGCCTTTACTACCCTAGCTAATACTCTCTTCTTGTCTCCTTTTTCCTTTTTTTTTTCTTTAGCCTCTCCTAGTTAGATAAATAATAAGCTATAAGAGGATAAAATAATTAATATAGTATAAAGTAGTAGAGAGGTATACTAATAGCCTATTATAGATAAAGGTAGTACTAAAAGTATAAGGACTTTATTAATATAGTAGTACTAGTGTAACCTATAGTAGAGAATAAGCCTAGATTAAGTAAAATAAATAATATAGGCTACTAAAGGTAATACTATAGGGCACTAGCTATAACCTAGAGAGACTAGGACTAAGTAGACTATATAGCTAGTTCTAGCTAAGAATATAGAAGGTTATACTATAATATCTATAAAGAGTAAAAGGTAGTATAGCTAGTAAAAGAGGCTTATTTATTTTAAGGAGAAGAAAAAAAAGGAAGAGGATATAAGTTAATAAGTCTAGGCTAAATTAAGTAAGGCTAGTAATATAGGCTATAGAGGGTAATACTATAGGGTATTAACACTATAGAGATAGGCTAGGGCTAAGTATACTATATAGCTAGGTAGTAAGTAATAAGGTTATACTATAATGTTTATAGGTTAAAAGAGGGAGGTATATATCTAGATAAAAGGTTAGTAAGGCTAATTAAATAGTAGAGACTTTATTAGAAGACAAGAAGGCTACTTTATTAATAACCTTGTACTAGAATATACTATAATATAGACTAAAGATATAGTTAAGAGGTATATACTAACGCTATAAATTAAAGGTAGACAAGGCTAAAGTACTAGGCCTATACTATAGCTAAGATATATATATATATATATAGATATATATAAGTATATATATATATATATATATATATATATATAAGGTCCTAGGGGGAAATATAGTAAAAAGGCTAAATAAAGATACTCTTAATAATATAATACTTCCTCTTCTTATAACCTATTCTTTATTCTTTTATACCTACTATATATATATAGCTAGGACTAGCTTTTTATTATAGTGTTTTATTTTCTCTTTAGTAATCCTTTGTCTTTAGATACCTTTATATAGGTAATTATAGCTACTAGTAGACCCTTAGCCCCTTCTTCTTTCTCTATATAGCACTAAGCTTCTTATAGATAACTAGGTGTAGCTAGGAGAGTTCTATAGCTACCTTGTTAATAGTATAGTAGATAATTTAAATAGTTATACTAAATAGTGTAGGCATAGAGGTAAGTATAGCCTTAGCCCTTAGGGACTTTAAGAGGCTTAATAGTAGTATAAAGGAGCTAGTAGAGAGGTATATTAGCTAGTAACTAAAGCTAGGCTATAAATAGTTTTACTACTACTACTTAGCCTATATTAGTATTCTTTATTTTATTTATATAAGTAGTATAAAGTATATAGCTAATAATAGTAGTTATATTAAAGAGGTATATTACTTATTAAAATAAAAAAAGGGGAAAAAGAACCCTAAGGTAAATGCCTTTTAGTAATATAGGCTAATAAGGACCTAGTATACTAGGTTATTAACTACCTCTAAGAATATTACTTTATAGTAGTACCCTAGATATAGTAGCTACTCCTTATATACTACTTAGCTAAGGTAGTAGCTAAGGTAGACATAGAGTAGCTAAGGTAGTATAAGCTAATAAAGCTTCTAGACTAAAGGATATTAATTAGGCTACTATAGCTTAATATATAGTTAATAAGGTATAAAGGACAAGAGGCTAAGGCTATTATATAGTAATATATTTACTTACTATATATAGGGAAGCCTAAGGCCTAGGAGTAAAAGAACGTTTACTATATATAGAAAGTACTATAGCTTTACCTTATAAGGCTTTATCTAAAGTAAGTTAAATAAATAAGTATAGTTATTTTTTTTATATTAGCTACTATATAGCTAGCTAATAAAGATATAGTAAAAGAAAATAAATAAACTATTACCTTATACTTACTTTAACTAGGCCTATAGGTATAAGTTAGTCTACTATATAATACTATATATATAGAAGGTACTAAAGTTATCTAAAGTTAGAAAAGTAAATAACCTTTACTATTTTATAAAAGTAGACCTACTTAATTTAATAGTAGTAGTAATAGTAGTAGTAGTAGTAGGTAGTAATAATAGTAAAGACTTACTAGGTAAAGTAAAGTAAAACCTTAATACTACCTAGAATATACTTACTAGCTGTTTTTATATCTAGCTAGATAAGCTAACGTAGATAATAAAGCTACTAGGCGTTAACCTTTTTTTATAGTTTACTACCTTACTAAGTATTAACACTTACTTCTTAAATAGTATTAGCCTAGTTAATATATACTATATAACCTAGGCTATATAGCTAAAGGAAGATAATAAGGCTATAGGGGTATTCTTTAACTACTTCTTTACCTTTACTAGTGTCTTCCTTAGGGATATTATACTTCTCTATAAGGTATATAAGTAGCTAGCTACTTGTTATTATATAGGTCTAGCTAGGCTAAGTAGGCTAATAATAGTATTTATAGGATTAAAGGTATAATATAGAGAGTATTATTAGCTATATATCTAGTAGTATATTATAAGCTAAGACTACTTTTTTATTTTTTAATATAATACTAAAGGTATATATATTATACTAAAAATATATACTTACTTACTTACTTTACTACTAGCTTCTTTAGGAGGGCTATAAGGTAAGTAGTAGTAGTAGCCTACTATATATTATCTAGTTAACTATATAGGTAATACTAGTAGTCTCTAAGTTTAAGAAGGTAGTACTACTATAGTTCTTATAGTAGTTAGTAAATAAGGTATTTTACTACCTTGTTGCCTTAGCTAATAGTATAGCGCCTAGACTAGTAGTAGTAGCTAGTAATAATAATACTACCTAGCTAAAGGCTATAATTAGGCTAAGCCTAGCTATATTAAAGAACTATATTAGTAGTAATAAGTTTACTTACTACTAGTTAAGTAGTAGTAGTGCTCTATATAGATATAGGTAGTATTAAATACCTTACTATTATTAGTAAAATACTCTTAGCTTATTAACTATATTAAGCCTCCTTTATTATCTAGGTAACTAGGAGAAAGAGAAGTAAGTAGTAGTAAGGCTAAAAAAATATAGTATAAACTACTATATATAGGTATACCTTTTTACTATAGTATAAGGTTAACTATACTAGTAGTAGCTAGGCTACCTATATACTATAGATAGTGTTAGCTTACCTTTATAAGTACTATAATATTAGTATTAAGAAAGCTATAGTATACTAGGCCTAATAATAATAATACTTAGGAAAGTAAATAGCTAGCTATATATAGTATAAATATAAAGTATATTAGTAAAAGTAAAAATAAGCGTAGGCTAAGATAATAATAGCTAACTATATAGGCTTATCTAGCTATATATTACTAACTTTAAGATAACTAATAGTAACCTAATCTTAGCTTTTTACTAGTAGCTAGTTAACTTCTTTTTTTTACTTATTATAAGTAAAACGTTAATACTAGCTAAGCTATAAAACTATATTAACTACTACTTACTATACTTAGTAGTTATTAATAATATAGCTAAGACTATAGTAAGTATAATAGCCTATAGCTAGACCTAAAGTAAAAGTATACTTCTTTAGCTTTTCTAATACCTTTAGGATAAATAGTATAGTAATAATAGTAGTAGTATAGCCTAGGCTATACTTAATAAGGCAGTAAGTAAAGTAAAGTTAAACCTAAGTATAGTAGTAGCCTACTTTTACTAGGTATATAACTTTCTTAGTAACCTACTACTAGTAATATTCTTATTAAGTAGCCTTAGCTACTATAGTACTAAGTTTTTAATACTATACTATATAGATATAGTATACTATAGCTATAGAAGCCTTTTATAGTATAAAGACCTTAGTAGCTAAGTAATAAAGCTAAGATACTATAAAGGTAATAGTAGTAGTAGTAAAGTAGTATTTAAGAGTAACTAGCTCTTTTTTTTACTATACTTCTCTTATATATTAACCTATTACTTACTTAATATTTTACTTTTATACTAGGCCTTATATAGGTAGCTAGTAGTAGCTTTAAGTATAGCTTTTCCTTTATATATATAGCCTAGATAAGTAGTAGTCTTATATATTAATAGCTAAAGTATAGTAGCTTATAGTATATATTATCTTAAGGTACTAATAAAGAAGTAGCTAGGTGCTTATATATAGCCTTAGTAGTAGTACTAAGTAGTAATAGTAGTATAAATAATATAAGTAATAATACTAATAGTACTAAAGATAATATAATAAGTAATAGCCTTAAAGAGGCCTAGAGACTACTTAATAGTAAAATACTTACTATACTAAAATACTATAGTAAATAATAAGTGCCTTAGGTAGCTAAAGTTAGAAGACTTAGCTAGTAATATCTACTAGTAGCTAATAGTACTATAGATGCCCTCTAGGCAAAGGTAGTAGTAGCTAGTAGTAGTAGTAATAGTAATAGTAGTAGTAATAAAAGGTATTTACTATACTACTTACTATCTATTTAAGTAGTTAGTAAAAGTTAGTAAAAGTAGTAGTTTTATATACACCTAGTAACCTTTTTTAAGCGCTAGCTTTATATATATATTAGTATTATAAGCCTTTACTATATTATAAAGATCTAGGCCTACTACTTTACTAAGACACTTAGTAGTAGTATTAGTAATAGCCTAATTAGAGGCCTACTATAGGCACTATATAAGTAGGTAGGCTATAGTAATAGTACTATAGAGGTTAAGTATACTATTACTACTATAGTACTATATTTTAGATTAAGTAAGAACTAGTAAAGTAAGTATCTTAAGGCCTTAATAGTTATATATACCTTTTTTTAATAAAGTAATAAGTAGTAGACTAATAATACTAATACTACTAGTAAAGTAAGTAGTAAAAGAGAAAAGACTATATATATATAATACTAAAGAGAAAAAAAAGAAAGATTTAGCTAATAAGGCTACTTAAGTAGGCTATATTAATTACCTACTAGTATAGTAGTAGTAGCTATAACTAACTAAATATAGGCACTACTAATAGCTTTAAACACTAGTAGCTAGTTAAATAGGCTAGTAGCCTATAATAGTAAAATTATAAAGAATATACTAGCCTTTTATAGGCTATCTATAGGCTAAGTAGCTATAGTACTACCTTCTAACTAAGGTAAAAAGAGGTACTTTACTTTTACTATAATAAGTAGCTACTTACTATTATTATACTACTAATAGGCGCTAAGAAGACAGTAGTAAGCCTTATGCTAGCGCTAATCTTTAAAGAAGGTAATAATACTTATTATACTATACTATATACTTTTAGTAGCTATATAGTAGTAGGCCTAGGCAGTAGGTATCTTAGTAATAATATTAGAGTAGCTTTTATATAAGTAAGTAGTATAGTTATTAATAGTATACCTTTTTATCTATATACCTAAGGCCTTTAAGTTAGCCTTATTATTAACTTTACCCCTTAGTAGTATTATATAGAGGCTAGTAAAAGTAGCTAGCTAGATTAGGTTATATTTAATAAGTACTATAACACTATTATAATAATACTTAAAGGCTTCTAGTGCCTCTTTTACTATATCTATATTAGCTTACCTAGGTACTACACTAGATTATTATAATAGTAATACTACTACTATTACTAGAAGGCTACCTTATTAATATACTACTACTAGCTAAGGATAGGCTCTTTTAGTAAGTAGAGAAGATATAGGCGTAGTTATACACTAGCTAGAGAGTAAGGCTACTAGTAGTAATAATAACCCCTTTAGGACTATATACCTATAATATATAGTCTTCTATTAGTTAGCTAAGTAGGCTAACCTATTATACTAGCTTATAATATACTAAGGCACTAATAACCTAGTACTATAGCTATAAGAAGATTATATTAGCTAACTTAATTATAGGCTACTTACTATAGCTAGATAAGACTATTATTATCTTTATAATAAATATTAGTATAGCCTTAGTAATAGCTAATATATTAGACTTATTCTTTACTATACTACTTACTACTATAAGGGTAATATAGTATAGGCATAAGCTATCTAGGAGGCTATAGCTAACTTCTAGGAGGCACTAGAGCCTACTTAAGGCAGTAGTAGTTAGTAGTATTATAGTATATAAGGGGCTAGCTAGGCACTAAGTAATATCCTTTCTAGTAAGTATAATAGTACTAAGTAAAGGCCTTAATACTATAGCTAACTATATTATTATAGTTATTAGGTAAAGGCCTAACACTATAATACTAGTGTAGGCCTTTAGCTATATAAGGTATAATAGAAAGCTAAGTATAGCTATATACCTTATTAAAGAGGAGGCTATATAAGGTATAGCCTTTATACTAAGGCTAGTAGGCCTTAATATAACACTAGATAAGATTATAGTAGTAGTATAGTAGTAGGCTAGGCTATTATAGAAGACTTTATTACTATAACCTAATATAGGTAGGTACTACTTATATAGTACCTAGATATAAAGAGTAGCTAGCTATACTATAATAAATACACTAGTAAAATACTTTATAACTTTATAAGGTAAAGTCTATAGTAGTATTAGTATTAGTATTAGCTAGCCTAATAAGGAAGTAAGGCCTATAGGTAATAAACTACCTTAGTTATAGCTATATAAGGGTATAACACTAAGTAGTATAAGTAAGATAACACTATTATACTTACTAGCTAAATAGGTTAGTATTATAGTAAAAGAATATAAGTATAGCTTCCTAGATAATATATTAACCCTATAGAATAGGCTTAGTAGTAAAAGGTAAATAATAGTAAGGTATAGTATAGGCCCTAAGAGTAGTACACTAGCCTATATAAAGGCATAGGGTAGTATATAATATAGTAGCTAAGAGATAAGTAGATCTTATTAGTAGTAGCACTAAAGGTAATAATAATAATATATTTACCTTTACTATTATAAACTAGCTAATAAAGTTATATTAGTAAGTTAAAGGCTAGGCTAATAAGTAGCCTAAGCTACTAGGTTATTATATAAGGTTAAAAAGCTATATAGTAGGCTACTATATAGTAAGTAGTAATATAGTAAATAAAGATAAGTAGCTAAGGCTATAAGCTAAAGTAAAAGGTAAGTAAATAAGTATACTACTATAAGTAAGCTATATATATAGGTAAAGCTTATAGTAATAAGGCTACTAGCCTATATAGGCTAGCTATTAATACTATCCCTATTATACTTCCTTTTTTATTAATAATACTAATTATACCTTATACTAGATATTATACTAATAACTTACCTTATAACTACACTAGCTATATAACTAGTAATAATAGGCTAGTTATTTTAGGCTAGTGTCCTAGCTATATAATAATACCTTTTAGTTATTTAGCTACCTTTATTATATTAGTATTCTCTATAGGTAAAAGCTACTATATATCTTCTATAATATAATAGTAGGCTAAGAGATAATATTATATAGCTCTAAGGCTTACTCTAGCTAAAGAAATATATAGTATAATATATAGTTAATAACTAAAGAATTATTAATATAGTAGCTAGGATATTTAAGAATAACTTAGTTAAGATTAGCTATAGTAAGTATTATAATACTACTAGTACTAGCCTAATAGCCTAGGGCTACCCTACTAGACAGTAGGCTAAGCTACCTTTACTAAGGCCTAGTAGTTATAGCTTTTTTATTAAATATAATAGGAATAGCTATAGCTTATTATAAAGTAATAAGGCTAGCCTTAGTAATTATAGTAGTATTTATTACCTTAGTAGTAATATAGGAAGTATATAATAAGAAAGTTATTATAATACTTAAGGTACTAGACACTATATAAAGCCTACTATAGGAGACTTAGAGGGCACTATATAGTAAATAGTATTAAATAGGCCTAGTTTATAGCTAAGAACACTAAAGGTAAAAGGTAAAGTATAGTATAGTAGTATTACTATAGTAGTAAAACCTAAAGCTAAAGGTATAATAGTAGTTACTAGGCTATAGTACTAATAATTACTATAGCCTTAAGGTATAGCCTTAGCTAGTATAGTAAGGTAGTAAAGGCTAATAGCTATAGACACTATTATTATAGGAGTAATATAGGCTAAGACTTTTTATAGTATAGTATTAGTATAAGTAAGCTATAGTTAGCCTAGGTAGCCTCTTAAGAATAGAACTATATTCTTAGCTATAGCTACTATTATCTATATAAAAAAGGTAATAAAAGAGAGATAGTATTATTAAAGTAAGTATATAGTATATACTAAAGGTAAGTAAGCTTTTTATTAAATTAAGCACTTATCTTAAGAACTAAAGGATATTACTAGTGTTACTATTAAGTATACACTAGCCTAGGTAAAAAAGGTCTAGTAGTTTAGGCTAAGACTACTTATAAAGCCTATATAAGTATAAGGATAGCACTAAAGATATAAGGGAAAAGTAGAAACTACTAGTCTATAAAAGAAAGTAGACTATAGTAGATAGTCTCTTAAGCTTAGCTCTTTAAAGGTAGTAAAGGTAATAAACTAAAGTGTCCTTATAATAAGTATAACTATATACTATAAGCCTAATTTAGGTGCCTTATATAAGACCTAGAAGGTTATATTATAAGGTAGTATAAAGGGTATACTATTAGTAGCTAAGCTAAAGATAAAGTAGTAATAATAAAGAGCTTAGCTACCTTAGTATATATCTATATTAGGTCCTATAGGACACCTTATACTAGTGTATAGTATATAGTAGTTAAGTCTACTAGTTTATTTAAGTAACTAGTTCTTTAGCTATTTAAAGCTAGTAAAGATAAGTAGTAAATAATACTAAAAGGTAGTTAGGTATTAGCCTAGAAGTAAAGCTAAAGATAAAGGATAATACTTTATTAATAAGTAGTAATAAGTATAACCTTATGCCTAGGTAAAGTAGTAAATAAGCTAAGTAAGCTAGGCGTAAGGATAGTAGTAGTAGTAGCTAATAAAGAAAGTTATCTTTAAACTATAGGTAGAGGATATTAAGAAAGGCCTACTAAGTATAAGGCTAATAAAGTAGGCTATATAGGCTAGTGTCTTAATATTAGTTATAGATATTAGTAATACCTTTATATTAAAGGATATTTATAGGTAGACTAAGGCTAGTATAGTGTAAAGATATAGTTCTAGACCTTAAGAGAAAGACATTAGTAAGGTTCTTAGCTAGTATAGTGTTAGGTGCCTTAAGAAGGTCTAGTAGTACTACTAAGGTAATACTAAATATAGTAGCTTTAGAATAGTAGGCTAGTAAGTAGTATACTTAATAAGTATAAGTAGCTAGTAATAAAGACACTAAGGGTATTATAAAAAATAAAATAGTATAAAAGTAAAAGAATAAGTTTTTTACTACTATAGTAAAGATAGTCTATAGAGTAGTATAAGTAGCTTATAGTATAAAGGCTTTATTATACTACCTAGGGGGCTACTTAACCTTAGATATTAAACTAAAAGCTAATATAGTATATAACTTTAGAAAGAATACTAAATAGGCCTACTTTTACTAAAAGTACTAGTATAAGTTAATAAAAAGTAAGCTAGTATAAAAGAAGTACTTATATACTTAGTAATATATATTATTATCTAAGGTCTATTTATAAGGCTTATCTTTAGCTACCTAGTAAAGTAAGTAAATAAAAGACATTAAGTAAGGCCTTAGAGAAAAGGTTATACCTTAGCCTATAGTTAGTATACTTACACTAGGTAATCCTAGGCCTCTAGAGTAAAGTTAAAGGTAACCTAGGTAAAGACTATACCCTATAGATATATAAAGTATCTTCTTAAGCTACTAAGCTAGAACTAGGACAATAAGGTTAGTAGTAGTATAGCTAAGAAAAAAAAAAGAAGTAATATAATAAGTATATTATAGAGGTTAAGTGCTATAGAATCTAGAGAAAAGTAGTTAAGAGTTAAGAGAAAAGAAAAATAAAGGCTATATATCTTTAATATAGCTTAGTGCTATCTAATCTTAATAAGATATATTAAAAGTAGCCTTACTAAGCTAAGTATTATACTACTAGTTAGTTATACTATATAAGTAAGGTTATTCTATAGTATAAAGAACCTCTAAAGAGAAAGCTATTTCTTATAGTAACTTATATCTAGCGCTATACACTATAGTAAAAGGTACTACTAGTACTATTACTATAAGGTAGATAACTTAGGGGGTATAAGGCCTATTAAGGTACACCTAAGTCTTAGGGATTACCTTTATTAAAGATTCTACTAGAGGAGAAGTAAAGTAAAATAAATATAGTCTATTAGAGATAGCTAGTATAGTAACCTACTTATAAGGTTAGCCTCTTAGTACTAAGGTACTCTATAGGAATAGATAAGGGGAGGTTTATATATAAGGGGAGGTATTACTATTAAGTAAAAGAAGAATAATAGAATATACTATAATAAGTAGATAAAGGGAAAGGGATAGCTAGGATAATTATATAAGAGGGAGGCTAGCTACTAGCCTAGCTAGTAATTAAAGGGGTTATAGCTAGGACTAAGACTATATAGTTACTATAGTAAGAGAGAAAGGCTATCTATACACTAGGATTATAGGTTATATATAGGTAAAGAGATAATACACCTATAAGAGGCTAATAGTAAGTATAAATAATAAGACTAGTTATTCTTATATATAAATATATTAGTATATTATATTAATTTTAACTACTTTATAGGTATTAGTAGTTAAGTTATATAAAGTAGGTAGGGTTTACTTTAGGATTAAGAGGTTATTAGAAGTTAGGATATTATTATATTATTTTTATTAGCTATCTATAACTTTACCCTCTCTTATGTCTATATACCCTTTAGTATATATCTTAGGGAAATAGTAGAGGAGGGCATAAGAGTATAATAAGTCTTATTATAGGGAGATAAGTAGAGTAGTAATATATAACTTAGTATAGTTAGTATTACTTTATTATTCTATATTTATATAATATAAAGCTATAATATAGGTTAGCCTAACTTTAGTTCTAACTCTTTAATCCTTTATTATAAGGACTTTATAAGCTAAACCCTATAATTATAGTAGACTACTATTATATATATGTCTTTACTTATAATTAAGGGAGAATATAGACATAATAGGACAACTAGTGCTAGGGAATAGCTATAGACTATTAGTTAGCTAGCTTAGTACTAATAACCTAGGTTTAGTAGTATATTAAATAAGGACTCTTATAGAAGATATATATAGTATTCTAAAGCTAAATACACTTAGAGATAAGATTAATAAGCAAGGTATATATAAATATACCCTTTTAATAGCTAGTATACCTATAGCTTCTAGGCTTCTTATTAATAATAAGGTAAAGGTCTCTAGGGTATAAAGTTCTTAAGACACTTAACACTTATAACTATAAGGTTAACTAGTACCTTTTTACTAAAAGCTAGGTAGTAGTACTAGTGTTAAGGACAAGACAGTAGGGTTTATTCTAGGATATAGCTATAAGGATGTCCTTAGTCTAAAGTACTCTTAGACCTAGTGTTTTTATAGGCTTTATTCTATATAATATAGTACTAGTTAAAAAACTAATATAGTTTAAAGATAGGATTTAGTTTTACCTAGACTTAAGTAAATATAGTAACTACCTAAAGGTACTAATTAAACTTTTTTTCTAGATACTTAGCTAATATTAATTATATATCCTAGACTTACTAATAACCTTCTTATAAGCTAGTACTAGTTAAATAAGACTTAGTAGGCTATAATAAGGATAGTATATTATACTAATATAATATAAATATTCTAGTTATCTTTATACTATAGGATTCTAGATAAAACCTAAGTAGTATAGCTTCTAAGGCCTTTAGGTAGTAAAAAAGGTTAATAAAGATACTATATAAGTAATATATTAGCTATATAAGGAGAATATATATAATAGATACTAGTATATAGCTTAGCTATAATACTAAGTTAAATAGTATATAGGAAGTAGATAGTATAAAGGTGTTTAACTAAGAGATAATAGTAGGCTTATAGGTAATTTAAAAAGGCTAGTAAATCCTAGATTAGTGTATCTATAGTAGAAATAAGGATAATAATATTATTAAGGCCTCTTATACTATAGTAGCTAGTAAATATAAGAGGTCCTAGGAAGTAGTAAGGTTTAGCTAATAACTATAAAGTAAAGTAGTATTAATATAGTACTAGACCTAGTAATAGTAAAGTATTAATAGTAAAAAGGTATCCTTAGTAAAAGGCAGTAGTAGGCTTTAAAGTAGCTTAGCTAGGCTAATATATTCTAAGATTAGTATATCTATAGTAAAGTTAAAGATAATAATATTAACTTAGCCTTTTATACTAGAATAATTAATTACTATAAAAGCCTATAGTAGGCTTATAAGTAGCTTAGCTAGGCTAATATATCCTAAGATTAGTATATTTATAGTAAAGTTAAAGATAATAATATTAACTTAGCCTTTTACACTAAGATAATTAATAGCTATAAAAGCCTATAGTAGACTTATAGATAGCTTAACTAAGCTAATATATTCTAAGTTAGTATATTTATAGTAAAGTTAAGAATAATAACTTATTATAGCCTTTTATACTAAGATAATTAATAGCTATAAAAGCCTATAGTAGGCTTATAAGTAGCTTAGCTAGGCTAATATATCCTAAGATAAGTATATTTATAGTAAAGTTAAAGATAATAATATTATTATAGCTTTTATACTAGGATAACTAATAGCTATAAAAGCCTATAGTAGGCTTAAGAGTAGCTTAGCTAGGCTAATATATTCTAAGATTAATATATCTATAGTAGTGTTAAAGATAACTATATTATTATATTCTTCTATACTAAGATAAATAGTACTTATAAAAGCCTATAGTAGGCTTTTAAGTAGTTAGGCTAAGCTAGTATAGCTAGAGTTTAGTATATTAAAGATAAGTTAAAGATAATAATTATAAAGAGGCCTACTTTACTAGGCTCACTAGTAAATATTAATAGCTTTAGTAGGCTAAAGAAGATAGTAGCTAGCTACTATAGTATAAAAGTTAACACTAAGATAATAATATCCTTAGGAAAGAAGAATATAACTTATTCTATACTATAAATAAATAAAGGTAAGGCTTAGGTAGAGATAATATAGCTAAGAATAGTATATAAGATAATAAAGCCTTATTATCTTTAATACTAAGCTAAATAAAGTAACTTATACTAAAGTAAAAGTAAGACTTTATAATACTATTAAAAGTATATAAGATAAGTAGACTATTAATAAGGTCTAGTAAAAAGGTAGTGTCTATAAGGCTATATATAGCTTTTTTAGTAAGCCTACTTAGTGTTTAATAGTAGTAATAGGCTTTTATAGTATTACCTCTTA